CTCAGAGCTCAAATGGACAGCATAACAATCCAGTCTTTTCAAGAGTTACTTCAAATAGCCTAAAGGTCAGTTTATGCATTATTTGTAATATTTTTGGCATGAAACAAAAGTTTGTGTACACTGAAGCATCAGAAGTAACAAAGGTGTCATTAGCCCAGCCACCCATATAGACAATTTTGAATTTTGGAATATTTTGGGATTCCAGATAAGGGGTGCTCAACTCTTCAACAGCATAATCTTCATCACCATCACCATCCAAACCAAACCAAACTAAGATTTTAAATTTGGGCATTCGGATAATTTTACACAAATTCAAGATTAGGATGGAGAGTTGTTTTCGAAAGCTGTAGAAGGATAATTTCAGATTTTCTAAGCAATTCTGTTATATTTTGGAATGAATGAAAAACATACTAGGGAAATGTGCATGGCATACTTCTCAAATGGTTCAAGAGAAAATTCCCAAGAGGTTATTTCTGCTCATGACTTTGTATTTTTACCCCGGGCAAACTTTGGTTTGATTCAAGAGAATTTATTCATTGGGAGCTGATTTTCTGGAAAATTTGGCAAAGTGATATATGTGGTGAGTAGAAGGTCATCATGATGACCATCTAGCTCAGTGCTTCTTAACCTGCATCTATGTACACCTAAAAGGTCCATGAACAAAGTGAAGTAAGAGTTTCCCTCCTCCTTCTATTACCTTGAAAGCATAATATCAGTTTTGAAATGAAAGGGGGCTTTCTTTTTATCCATGCAAACTACAAATGCAGGAGCTAGATCTGAAGCAAGACTCATATAAGGGTGCAAAAGGCAAGTTCCCTGTTGTCTATACTTAAAAGATCCTGATATGCATTGTCTCCTTTATGCTTATGTCTGACTAAGAAAAAAATGTTTCTTTTTTTCAAAGTATAGTTTGTCTATGCTTTTAAACTGGGCTAACTGGGATAAAGTTTGTGGTATTACCCTAAGAACCACATAATGCGTAGTGCTTGGTGCTACATATTTAAAGTAGCCAATACAATGTTCAGTGAGAAAGTTCCATGCCCTGAGAAAAATGAGCTTTCACAAGTACCATTGAAATTTCATTTATAGAATTCTATAGTACTGATATTGCTGCTGTTTAATGAAATAGCCTTTTTCCTTCTTGCTTTCTTTTTTTTAGTCCAGACCATCTGCTTTTTCTTTTTTTCCTTTTTAATTCTCTCGCCCACCCTGTCTAATCTATTGAAAAGCCACACCAATATCAAATGTCACTTAGTTCTTACTTAAATAGAGCAGGGCAGACACAGCGGCTGCACCAGCTGACTTAGCTGACCTAGGCCCAAAGTAAAAACAACAGGATAATAAGTCACCAGATGTAAGCAACTGAATGCTGATCACTTTCATTAACCCAACAGCTCCCAAAATTGACTGCGGTTGTTTTAACCCATTGGACTCCTTAGTACTAACAGGCATAATACCAGTTATATTGAAGGAGGGGTTTTACTGGTGAAAAAAGAACCCACAATTCAAATGTGACCAATAAATGCCCAGAACTGCTATCTCAATTCACGGCAATTCTAAGCATTTACATGCAATCCGAATTGTATCTATTTACACTACTGAATACTATGCATTCAATACAAGTCAGTACCTTACAGATTAAAACAATGCAGTGAATCATAGAGAACATTTTTCCTACTTAAACATTATGTTCCTTATACAGCACAACCTCATACCTGGGAAGGATATGCACATACACACACAGAAACAGTGGATAATAGTGAACTCTGTATTTTGATTATACTTGGGCTGGAAACACACCATAGAATCACACAAGGAGGACTCAGAGAAGCCAACAAACACTATGGGGGCGAGGGGGGGTGTTGTCATATATTTGACGCATAGGTAAATGAAACTGTGAATATTGAATCAATGGATAAAGCGACGTACTAAACTGCAAAATATTTCAACATTTTCTATGCTATGACATAGTGCTATGACATATTGTATATATTCATGAAAAAGTTGACCTCATGTATAAATCGCAGGCAGGTTTTGGGGCTCAAATGATCGATTTTGATATAAGCCATGGATAAGTCAAGGGTCATTCTGTGGAAAGAGGAAAATACCAGTGCTGGCTAAGAGGGGCAGGTACCACTGGCTGTTGCCACCCTTTTCTCACCTGGGTATTCCAAAATATAAGAAGCAGCACAATGGTAGAGAGTAGAAGGAGTTGGTGCTTCTTTGAAGTTTTCCCAGGATGGACTGCTCTTGCCTTTCACCTCTCTATTCCGAGAAGGTGATGGTTCCTTTTACGATAAGAGTTAAGATACACTGACACATGTGTAAGCTACCTGGGAAGGCCAAGAGCTCGAACACTGTTCCCATCCTAAATATTTCTGTATCATCTAGATTGAACACTAACATTTAGGAAACACTGTATGAACAACACGCACAAAGTAGTTGTACACAATAACATCCTGCGAAAACTTACTGGCAGTGCATGGGGTGCAGAGCCAAAATTAATTAAGAACACAGCCCTGGCCTTGTCTTATTCAACTCCTGAGTATGCCTGCCCCATCTGGCATAAATCTACCCACTCGAAGCAGGTGAATATAGCACTGAATAAGACATGTAGAATAATCACAGGATGTCTCAAACTAGACATGATGGTAGACTCTATAAACCACCTGGCATTGCCCCCCTGATGTGCAATGGGAAGTTGTTGCTAACTGGGAGTGAAATAAGGTTGAACACTGTGAAAACCATCCATTGCATGGCTATCAGCCTCCTCCCAGTAGACTCAAATCAAGGGAAGGTTTCATGAGAACCACCACACCTCTCAATGTTTCCCCAACAACAGCAAGAATATCCCTCTGAGAAGCTAAACCAGGAAATCCCAATTGATGGCCTCCCATGAGGGTCTGCCTCCAGGGGCAAACCTAGGATGGGCAACTTGGAAGTCCCTGAACAGACTCAGAATGGAGTTGGCAGATCAAAAGACAATCTGGCAAAATGACATTACCTAGAAGAATCCTCCACCTTGTGTGATTGTGGAGCAGAACATAAAACTCCGCATGTGTATGCTTGCCCACAATGTCCCGCCTCATGCACAGAAGAAGACTTGTTTAAAGCCACAGACAATGCAGTCGCTGTTGCCCGTTTTTAGTCAAAAATTATTTAGCTGCTTGTGCTCCCTCTATTTTATCAGTTTTGTACTTATTTATGCAATGCTTTTGACACAAAATAAATAAAACATGCATAAATTGACACAGTTTTTGGGCTGATTTTTTTAACTAAATTTTTATACCTACCTAGACACAAATATATAGGGTAATTGGTCATTACAGAGGTAAGAATTATTCTCTGACTACACAATAACCAAAGTATGTCCTTGAGGCGATTATATGATAAATTTCAGCCACAAGTTACCATAGAATTACCCTGGAGATGATAGTTCTATGACAACATCTGGCAGGGGTCATTCATTTCAATAGGGTTTACTTTGTTGTTTATTCGTTCAGTCACTTCCACCTCTTTGTGACCTTATGGACGAAACTACACCAGAGCTCCCTATCGATTATTATTATTATTATTATTATTATTATTATTAGCAATTGGGATTACTACTATCCATTATTTTCTGTTTCCACAGTAGGTTCAGGAACATATCCCCTGTACATATGCAGGCCATACTGTGCTGACAATTCTTCATGTATACTAAGCAACTATATAAAATGGGCAAATACACCCACACAAAATAAATGACAAACAAGTATGAATATGGTATTAGACACAAAAATGGTGCACTGTTAAATGATAGAGATCTGCTTTATTCCCTACTTATTTAGCTCCAGTTTCTTTTTTCAATATCTCCTGCCTTCTCTTTAGTGTTTATATTGACACTCATAAACATGTTGAAAAATGTACAGAAGCAGTTTATCTCTGAAAAGCAACTACAGAACCAAGGCCAGAGCTGTTAGTGTCATGGGTGAAAAGCCAAGAATCAAACCATATACATCATCACATGGGAGTAAATTATATCAATTCAGTTAGTCAGTCTACATAAACACACAGAGAATCAGGTTGCAAGTGAGATCTACTATAGTGCATTACAGTAGCTTTTATTTTGAATGAATTATATACACACTTACTGCTCAATCTTTTGCATGCATACAAAGAAGTAAATCTGTGTTCAGCAGGACCTACTCCTAAATAAGCATACACAAAACCACAGCCTCCATAGCACTCTTGGGGGATCAGCATTATTTATTTTAAAAACCTAATCATAACAAATATGTTAACAAGGAAGAATAGCTATATGACAATTACATAATATATAGCTTCACAGTATGAGCCCTAGTTTAAAAACTGTTCAGAAATTATAGCAGGTCCAAAATGTTGCAGTCAGGCTGCTGACTGGAGCTGGTTACAGGGATAATATAATTCCCTTTGTTCAAATAGTTCCACTGACTACCTATCCATTTCCAGGTAGAATTCAAAGTGCTTGCTCGTGACCTTTAAAGCACTATACAGCTTGGCTCCAGACTATCAGAAAAACAATACCTCCCTATATCAATTTACATGAGATTTAAAATCATCAAGGAAGGGGCTTTCTCCAAATTGCACCATCATCACAGGGGCATTTTGGTACCTTTTATGGATAACACATACACTCTGCAGCTGAAATTCAGTGTTGGGAGTACTTTTAGAATTCAGTGTTGGGAGTACTGTCATGCTTCCACACCTTCTCAAAACACACTTCCAGAAACACACGATGGGAAAAAAAAACCTGAGAAAAGTGTGCATGGAGGGTAAAGATCCCAATCTGTAATATATTGTGCATGATGCAAGTTCCTCACAAAAACCAAGTATTTCCCTACTGGTACCATACTGGTCTTATTTTAAACATCAGTTCTGCTTCACGTATAAGGATACTTTCCACACTATTTGCACGGTCACATATTATTCACATATTAAACATATAAACAACATTAAAAATAAAATAAAATTCAACTTACAGAGACAGGAGGGTAATGTTTGCTGAAACAGTGCCCAGATCTGGTATGATTTCTAATTCATTGTTGTTCAGTTTTCTGTCAAGAACATAAAGAAAGTCAGCTGACTTGGAAACAAACAGTGGTTTTGTGCTTTTCAATTTTCCTATATCATAATAATAATGTTATTGTGTGCCTTCAAAATTTGTTTTGTTTTACTTATGGTGAACCTCCAATGAATTTATAAAGGGGTTTTTTTTGGGGTGGGGGGAGAGAGATTTTGGGTGGATCTACACATCTCTATATCCCAGGATCTGATCCCAGATTATATGATAGTTGAGACTCGTATAATCCAATTCAAAGCAGATAATCTGGGACATCCAGCCTAAATAATTCAGAGAGTTTTTTTCATTGCCTTACTCTTAAGGCTGAGAGTGTGACTTGCCTAAGGACACCAAATTGATATATGTGACCTAGTAGAGATTTGTAGGCTCCCTAGTGGTATAGCGGGTTAAACCACTGAGCTGCTGAACTTGCTCACCGAAAGGTTGGCGGTTCAAATTTGGAGAGTGGATCAGGATGAGATCCCGCTGTTAAGCCCAGCTTCTGCCAGTTTGCAAACATGCAAATGTGAGTAGATCAATAGGTTCCGCTTCTGTGGGAAGGTAACAGTGCTCCATGCAATCATACTAGCCACATGACCTTGGCGGTGTCTACGGACAAAGCCGGCTCTTCAGCTTAGAAATGGAGATGAGTACCACACACACCCAAGATTCGGACATAACCAGACTTATGTCAAGGGGAGCTTTATCTTTATCTTTAGAGATTTGAACCCTGCTCTCCCAGGGTCCTAGTCCAATATTTAACCATTACATCACATTGACATAATGCATTGTGTGTTAATGTTTATATGTGATTTATATTAATTGTATTGTTTTTGTTTATTGCTTTCTTGTTTTATTGATGTGTTTTTGGGTTTGGCCTCATGTAAGCCGCTCCGAGTCCCTTGGGGAGATGGTGGCGGGGTATAAAGATTTATTATTATTATTATTATTATTATTATTATTATTTCATTACAATATAGTTCATTTACTATACACTAGGATTCTCCTGCATTCCAGAGTATCCTTCATTATAGGCAGTGAGAAATTTTATGGTCATACAGAATTATAAACACTATTTTTTTAAAATAAACATATTTAAAGAAGGCATGATATAATGCAGGAAGGGAAAGTAATAAAGGCATTCACTTACATTTCTTTCAAACCATGAAGGTGACTCAAAGAACTTGGCTTGATTGAAGACAATTTGTTGTGGCTTAGATCTCTAATGGATTAAAAATAAATAAAGAAATGTCATTTTCTTTCAATATCTGTACACAGGATGAGCATCTCGAATCTGGAATTCTGAAATCCTCTAAAACCCAACAACAACATCTGCTAATCACTTGCTTCTACCTTTAAGGCTGCACTCCTGTTTGTTCATTTTCAAGATGGAAGTGGGTAGCTGATAAGCTCCCCAGACATCACCTGTACAGTATGTACCGTTTTTTCTCTCCTTAATACTGGTATCAGGTTCCTTATATCCACATTCTCTCAGATCCCCAGTCCCCCTTCAGCCTCACATCTCATAAGCAATACCAGTAGCAATCAAATGAGATGTGAGGCTGGAAAGAGATGTGAAGCTAGATGTTAAAAGAGGGAGAGATACAGGATCTATGAAATGATGAGAATCCAAATTTAATACTCAGCACAAATCCACGCCTTCTGCTACTTCGTAGATCTTCATGAATCTCTCTAGCCTCTCCAGACTTTGGCCCCATCTCCAAAATTTCTCATTATATCTATCTATCTATCTATCTATCTATCTATCTATCTATCTATCTAAGATGTGGGCAAACTTTGGCCCTCTAGGTGTTTTGGACATCAACACCCACAATTCCTAACAGCCAACCGGCTGTTAGGAATTGTGGGAGTTGAAGTCCAAAACATCTGGAGGGGCAACGTTTGCCAATGGCTGATATGCAGTATATGCAGATATGTCAAAGCTGGAAAACAAAACTCAAAGCACTTCTGGTACCAAGCATTTCAGATAAGGGATATTTGACTTGTATTAATAAACAAACAAGTCAGTTGAAGCAATAAACTTGACTAAACAATTAAATGAATCACATGCATTTTGATTTTGTCATCCTCCCCCTGAAACAACACTTCTATTTTCCCAATAGGACACATGACAACCTTCCATCTTAGTCAGAGGTAAGCAACACAAGGCCCTAAACATATTACTGGAGTGTAACTCCCATCAGTCCTAGTCAAATCAGTCAATGGTAAGTGATGATAGCAGAGGAAGCCCAACAAAATTTGGGTAGCCACACGTTTTTCATTCTTGGTTTACTTTGTTGTATGAAATTTGCCATTCATGATCAAATATCTGTTGTATGAAAACTGGATATGAACTACTTCTATATTTGCTTAAACTGGTTTAATAAAACATTTCTTAAGACTGACACAGAAATAACTATGCAAGTCCTATACAGAATGTGAGTCACACCTTGAAAGTCTAGGGGGCCAAACTTGTTGTTACAGTCTAATGGCATCTGGCAAATCCGCCATAAAGCTGTTGCTCAATTTATGATTTTCATCTGGTAAGGCTGAATTCACAAAGTCTAGCTATACTGATGGCTGGGTGGCTTTCTTGCATTCACGTGTCTCTGCACCATTAATTCTCACACATAAAATGTTTAATGTGAACCATATGCGAGTACAAAAAAAGCCCCACTAAAAACAAAGTTTGAATAAATACTTCACCCTCAAGGCACCAACATATCACATTTAAATGGAACAACCTGATCTGCCACAGATGTGTAAGAGAATAAACCTGCTTCTGCATGCATATCTCCACTAAACAGACAAAGGTTAAATCCAGACTCAAAGAATATATTCATTCATATGAAGGGAAGCTGGTCCTAATTAAACAAAAGTCCATATGCATCACTCCAAGTATGACTATTACCCAATCCAGTCGTAGGTTTATACACTGGATCCCAGTGTAATATTGCTAAATAATTCTAAACCAAATAATTTAACAAGATTCATAAGGCGTTCTGAATTGTAAAATAGAGAAAGACCTTTATCTTGTCTCAAAGTCAAGTCAGTATTTGGCTGTAGATCAATGAGACTAGAACTGTGTTTCTCAACAAGGTTGGGACCCCTGGGGGGGGGGTCAAAAGGGGGCATCAGAGGAATCGTGAAAGATCATCAGAAAACACAGTATTTTGTGTTGCTCATGGGGGTTCTGTGTGGGAAGTTTGGCCCAATTCTATCGTTGGTGGGATTCACAATGCTCTTTGATTATAGGTGAACTATAAATCCCAGCAACTACAACTCCCAAATGTCAAGTATATTTTCCCCAAATTCCACCAGTGTTCACATTTGGATATATCAAGTATTTGTGCCAAGTTTGGTCCAGATCCATTATTATGGACATCCAGAGAGTCCACAGTGCTCTCTGGATGTAGGGCAACTACAACTCCTAAACTCAAGGTCAATGCCCACCAAACCCTTCCAGTATTTTCTGTTGGTCATGGGAGTTCTGTGTGCCAAGTCTGGTTCAATTCCATAGTTGGTGGAGTACTGAATATTCTTTGATTTCAGGTGAACTATAAATCCCAGCAACTACAACTCCCAAATTACAAAATCAATCCCCTCCAACCCCACCAGTATTCAGATTTGGGCGTATCAAGTATTTGTGCCAAATTTAGTTCAGTGAATGAAAATATATTCTGTATATTGGATATATCCATTAAGTAGCAAAATTGCAGTTATGAAGCAACAACGAAAATAATGTTATGGTTGGGGGTCACCTCAACATGAAGAACTGTATAAGGGGTCATGGCATTAGAAAGGTTGAGAACCACTGGATTAGAAGAACTACATAAACACATCTCCAAAATATGATGTGGTTGTCATGGTTGTTAAAGTCTAACACATTACCCTTCATCTAGCATCAGACAAGTATCAGGAATTATTTCAACAAAGAGCTTTCAACATTCTATTTAAAGAAAAAAAAACTTTGGCCTTTCTTCGTGTCACCTAAAAGTACTAAAATCTATTTTAAAAAATTGAAAAGGGAGGTGGCAAAGGAGGGAACACCCTTGAAAGATTTATTTAAAACATATTTGCCTTGGGACCTACCAGACAGTAACAGACGTGAGTAGATTTGTTCTGCTGGAATTATAACAGGGGGAGGGGGGAATCTGGCAGAGCCTTTAAACTATATAAAAAATCCTGCAATTACAACCACTGCTGTGCATGATCACTAAACTGGAGCCAGACACTTTCACTCTGAGCTCAAAACTCACCATCCATCTGGAGTCTATCAAGGCAATCGTAAGCACAACTTGCATTATGTTTCAGACTAAATGTGTGTTTTTTTGACACTGCTGCTTTCCATAGATTTTTCCATGCACTACACTGCCTTAAGAAAAAAAAAAAAGCAAGCATGTAAATAGCCTGGTTTTCTTAACTCACATTCAGAGGTTGATGATTCCCAATGTTTATAACATGCTTTTATTGCTCTGAAGCGCAAATCAGACAATTATTACCAGTCCTTTAATAGATCCGCCTTTTATATCTAATTTTACAACTTCTAGAAACCTACAGGAGGGAAGGATTAGTCACTTGTATAGACATTCCTGCAACGACATAAAATTACAAGGAATGGGTTGGAAACTAAGATACATGGGATATGTTCTAAAATCAGTTTTGAAATTGTTTGTTGTGACATAATCTACGTTTAAATGCACACATTTGTCTTTTTTTCTAAAAAAAAAAGAAGGACTGACTGAATTTCTCATACAACTAGAAAATACTATGAACAAATCTCTCCTATAATTTAGAAATAGAAGTTGGCATCGCTGAAGTGGTGGAAACACATTTTCCACTCCCAATTCCCTCCTCCTTTCCTTTTTAAACCGCAGTACATGGAAAGAAAAATCTCTACAGTGGTTTAAGCTCACTGGTAGCATTTTTTACATTATGAAATATAAAACTGCTATGGCTGACTGGCTGGTTGGACTTGGGGACTCCGAATACAAATTTCACCTTTAAAACTGCAGCACAGTACATGTTAAAAATGACCAGCAATTGTGGCAAATGCAAATAAACAGCTTTGAAATGCTATGCTGTTCTTATATGGCTACACCCCAAAGACTATACACAGAAGACTTCTTGCCTCCAAAGGCCTTCCTACCAATGACAGACCTTCTTGATATATACGCTTTTGTTCAAAGAACTTCTATTGTGGCTCCAGTTTCAAGTAATCCCCTATGTGCATTCCATAATGATTCCCAGAGCAATACTAAACCTACTACAGATTTCCATATAAGAGGGGTTACGATGGGCATAAGGTACCCCACCCATTGGGAGCCATATGCATGGTTCACTACTACAATTTCACAAGAATATTATCTTGCTATTTTTGAAAGTTATTTCCCCTCACTTTTCCATAAGCTCTCTTCATTTACATCAGTGGTGCCCAACTTTTTTTTTTACCAGGGACCACCTGACCAGGACCACTTTGACCAGGGACCACTCTCCAACATTAGTACCAAAAAGGTTACGAATCAGTTTTTGATCAACTTTAGATTCAGTTTGGTTATTTGGGGTGCTGATTCAGAAAATTGCATTGGACAGACCTCATCAGCTCTAGTTTCTGATACAGAACACAGGCCATCCAGTAGTCACCATCTGCTCACCCACAGAAAACTGTATTCAATGATCTAGAGCTGATGTGGTCTATCCAATGCAATTTTCTGAATCAGCACCCCAAATAACCCCAGGGATAGGCCTAAAAACAAAGACACCAAGGCATCCCCACTTCCAGGCGCCACACAGAATAGCTCTGCTCAGGGGAAAGGATGAGGAAGAGGAGAAGAAGCAGTCAGGCTTGTTGTGTCTTTTGTGGATAGTCAGCCTCTTCCCTCCCAACATCCCCATGGCCTCTTCACTATAATAGGGTTTCGCAAGATCAGTAGATCTTGTTGCAATTGTGTAGTAGCAGTGAAGCCACAGATCATGTTTTAATTCTTTTGGGCCACTGGTGGTCCATGGATCAGAGGTTGGGAATCACTGATTTACATCATAGGGCATCAGTTTCGACCCGGAGGAACTACCCTGTATACTCATTAGGGCTGGGCGGTTTCGTTTCGTTAATTCGTAATTCGTTAATAATTCGTTATTTTTTTCAATTACAAAATGATAACGAACCACTCTGGAGCAATTATTTAAAAAAATGAATTTTCAAAAACGTTTTGTAAATGCTTC